GATTCGTATTTGTTTAAGGGGATTCGTATTCGATTTTTTCAAATTCAAATACGAATACGAATCTGAATAAATATTCGAATCCTTATCGAATACGAATATGAATCAAGGGTATTCGATTCGTGAGTTTGACAAATATTTTCAGAATATAAATCTAATTATACGGAGTAAATTATATATATACACACACACACACACACACATATATATATATATCTGTGTGTGTGTGTGTATATATATATATATATATCAAATGGTTATAAAATATTTTAAAATCTAAATGAACTGAATAATTTTAAACGAACCGAATATATTTAAACGAATCGAATATTTAAACGAACCAAATATGTTTGATATATTAAACGAACCGAATATGAATCTTAAAAAATATTCGAAATGAATTCGAATTCGAATTAGAATATCACTCCATCTTAACGAATATGAATATTTTTCATGAATATTTGATTCGGTTCGGTTCGTTTACAACCCTATCTGTGTGTATACGTAGTGGTTCTCAGAAATGAAGCTAGGGGGTTCAGAAACCCGTGTTTGTGCGTGTGTACGGCCCCCTATGCATGGGCAATAAATTGACAGTACGTAGGTGAAGCTGCATATGATAATCGATATGCCCATCCCCCCGCAAATATTTCTTTTTATTTCCATAAATGGCTCCTACCTTAGCTTGATTCGTATTACTCCTTCGAGCATTCCCTATCCAACACCTACTGTCTGTCCCCTCTCTCTTCCACTCCTTTTTTTATATTTTCACAACAAAAATTATCTTCTCAAATATTAAGTTTTTTCAATTCATTTTATTTACATATTGATATAGAAATAAAAAATAAAATTTACATATCAAAAAACTACATAAAAAATTCTTCAAAACAAGAGGTGTCAAGATATTTTATTTTATCAAATAACCAATGAAAACGTAGAAATAAACAAAAGTCCTCACAACTGCTGAAAAAGCAAGTGTGACAAACATTTTGGGACAGAGGAAGTATTTTTTTTTCGCTTTTCCATATCAACATTTCTCTATTTTTTTATTCAATTAACTCTATTCCAATTTAATAAAAAATTGAAAAATTTGCTCATATTAGACTAAAAGTTAGTACATTTTCCTGAATAGAATCAAATGTGTTTTATCCTCTGTATGACACATAATTTCATATAATCTCCCTGCCATATATGCTCTCATATGATCTGCAATAAGTGTTAAATTATGAGTGATTATACGAATGACTCTATAAATGTAGCCATTAATTAGTAACAAGTATTGGATAATGACTAATTATTTCAATTACTATTCAAATTGTTTTGAATAATATCTTATTCTATTTGAATTGTTTAATAGGTCATTTTTCCAAAAGGTAGGACATTTTAGAACTTTCTATCGTCAAACGTTAAAGTAGATATGACAAGTTCTATTTTGGGAAAAAATGTTATGTTTAAATTTCATTTGCATAAATTACCCTAAAAATCATGTAACCTATAATAATTCTATAATATGTTGGGACAAACACACGCGGTAAGAACACACACAATTACTATACGAATCTATTGCAAGATTTAAAATGGTTCAGTCGACAACTACAACCTGCACGCGTCGACACTTGGCAACTACTCCCTCTGTTTTTTAAAACCCTTCCTCTTTCATTTTTTTTGTTTTTCTTAAAACACTTCTCTTTTCTATTAAAAAACCACTTTTACCCCTACTTTTTTCATACCCTACCTATCACATCATACTTTTTCACTAATAACTAAACTATCACATCTTACTTTTACTCATCACATCAGGGGCAAAATTGGAAAATCTACTAAAATTACACTTTCCTTATTTTTTCCCAAAGTCAAAACAGGAACCGTTTTGAGAAACGGAGGGAGTAGGAGTCTAGGAGTCTACGAGGTTTTATTTCATTTGTGGCTCATTGATTGCAAGTACTATATAATTAATCTCTTAAGCAGAGATTTCTCTTCAACAGAGATTGGTTTAGGAGGTTATTGGTTAGTGTAGCTTCCACCTAGTTTCTTGACTTTACACACAATAACTACATTGATTTTTCTACCAGCAGATTTATTTAAAAATACAACTAACCATGCATTAAAAAAATTGAATAATTAAATATTACAAAGTATTTATTAAAATTAGAGAAAATAATTGAAAGTTAACATGCAAATGCTTTACACTCTCTCTCCCAATTTAAATGGTATATTTACTATTCACAGAGTCAAATTTTATATAGATAGTCATTTGAGATGATAATATAAATAGCCTTGTCACCTTTGGTTTCGTAAAATTTTTTATGTTGTTTTAAAATTATTTAAATTTTTATTTTGTAATTCCATACCAATTTTCAAATAAGTTGAATTGCAAGCAACTTTAATCAATTTTCAACGTTTTTAACATTCTTTAAAAACATTTTAGCTTTTTATTTACAATTTTGTTTTTTACGAAGTAATTGTAACTAACTTTTACAGCGAATTCTATAATAGATTCTTTATAACAGACGGTTTTCCATATTTAGTCTTTTATAATCAAATATTACGCATGTGGTCTTTTTCATTTTTGTGGATACTTTTTTTTTAACATTTTGTCATATTGGTGTTAAATTTCAGATTAAAATTGTAATTTCAAAATAATCATATATCTTTCTTGTCATAGTCAATGTCAGAGGTTGCTGCTGATGCATCGCTTGTCAGCTGAACTCGCTGTTTACGACAACAATAGTGTACTGATATCCAATCTGGTTGGAATACTAGTTCACAGTTATAGTTGTTATTATGTTACTGTCCATCAAACTTAATTAGAATATGTCATCTTAGATCGATGTGAAATTATACTTTTAACTCTCAAATTAACATCAGCCTGAGAGATGTCAAGATAGGAGTGTGTATGAAAAGTTACGCATAAAAGGACTGCAAACGTAACACATAGTATATGATAATAAATGACTAAATTTTATACGTGAATCTGGAAATTAAAAGAGCTTTCTTCTAAACTTTTTCCCACGGTCTGTCTACCCCAATGATAAAGTCTAGAGAAGAGATTCTTAAGACTCTCTAGTAGTACCTCAAGGCTCTCATTGAAGATAGCCTTACACCCAAAAATTGCAACCAACACTTCCACAGTTATCACAAATTCAATGAATGTGTGACAAGTTGGGGAGGTCCATTTGGGGAGCATCTCCATTACTTATAATTTTATTTGAGAATGAAGAATTAGTGCTTAAAAAAAAGATACGGAGTATATAGAGGGGCATATTAGGGAGATAAATAAAATAAAAAGAGAAGTGGAATCCCTCTAAAAAAAGTTAAAGTGCTTTTATCATCACCCAATGCTAATGCACGAAAAACATTTGCCGACAGTTCACCTATGCTTTTATGGCACAATAAATTTCAAATCCTTTTTTTTTTTGAGAAAAAAATGGGTGCTGAAAATGATGAAAAATTTTAAATGAAGAAAAATGAAGAAAAAATGGGTACTTTCTGTTCTTAGTTTGATTACAAATTGCATAAAATGAAGAAAAATTTTAAATTTTTTAAATCCATTTTACTTAAAGATTAAGACATAAATAAAAAAATAAACTTATATATTATATTTGGTTGTATCAAATAATTAATAAAAATGCATAAATAAACTAGAACGATAGATTATCAAGTTTTTATATTTTTCTAAATTCTACTCCCCCGTCCCACAAAACATTGCCTATTTTGATATATTTTTTGTCAAACAGCTACACGCTTTGACCATAAATTAAATATAATCTAAATAAAAAATGTTATAAAAATTTGATATATCAAAACTAGATCCTAGGATGAATCCAATTATATTAAATTTATAATATAATTCAATATACTTTTCTCAAAATTTGTAGTCAAAGTGTGTAATGTTTTGACCAAATACTATTTAAAATGAGTAATGTTTTGTGGGACGGATGGAGTATAGTGTAAAACTAGAACGATTATTAATGTAGAAGAGAAGAAAGCCTTAAAAAACTTGGTCAACTGGGTTGTTTGCATGAGCAGTAATTAGGGAGAGAGGGACGATAGGCCATAGTGGCCGGTGGATGAGAGGTAAGATCCATGGAGTAGATGACATTCAAAGAAACTTCCTTTTTTGCATTAATTCCATCTCCTATGCAATTAAAAAAAAAGTATTCCCTCTCTCTTAGAAAGAGAGACACATTTGACTAAAATGACAAAATAAGAGAGGGATAACTTTCTAAAAATACTTTTGATGTGATGAGTGAAAGTAAGATGTGATGTGAAGATTATTAGGAAAATGGTATGATGTGCAGTGATAGGTACGGTATAAAAAGTTAGAGGTAAAAGTGATTTTTTAATAGAAATGAGAAGCAGATTGTGGGATGCCATTTTTTTTGAAACACGGAGAACTTTTTGGGACGGAGGAAGTATATATTTCATAAACTTTCCAGTTTGACTTTTAGGGTTAATTTTTTGAGTTTTGATTATACATTAATAGGGAGAATATATATATTGAATTATTATACTCCCTCCATCCCGAGAAAACCTTTCTCCTTTCTTTTTTCAACCGTCCTTAAAAACACTTCTCATTTTTATTAAAAAGTCATTTTTACCCCTTACTTTTTCATACCCTACCGATAACATCATACATTTTTACTAATAATCTATCCATCGAATCATACTTTTACACATCATATCAAAGAATATTTTTGGAAATTCAATACCAAAATACACTCCCCTTAAATCCTCCTTCAAAATCAAAACTCTCATTTTTCCGGGACGGAGGGAGTATAAGTTTAGTATCAATATCTTCATTTAAAAACTTAATTTTGAAATATTACATTTTTATACTCCCTCCGTCTCATAAAACAATTCCTATTTGAAAAAAATGGTATACCTTTAAAATGAGGAATTTTAGTGTAACTTTCTAATTTTGCCCATATTTTATAATAGAGTAGGATGAGATGTGTATAATAGATAAGTTAGCTATAAATAAAATAATAGATAAAATTTTCTAATTTTACCCATATTTATCTATAAATAAAATTCTCGAAAGAAGTATGCCGGGTATATATATATTCTAGCTAGCTACCCACATCTTATCCACTTCCATGCATATGTCATTTTGATCTTTTCTTCATTATTTTAGGTTTAAAGCTTTAGTTTCATCAATAAAGATATAACATGGCCGCACCGTTGTCATCTTGGCCATGGCAGAACTTAGGCGTATACAAGGTATATACTCTACTCTTTCTGTTTTTAAAACCGTTCATATTTCATTTTTTGATATATTTTTGATGTTTTATTCTTAGATTAGTTTTTTTCTCTATACTCCATTCATTTCGTAATGAAACATCATGCTATTAATGTGATCGATTCGTCTCTCTTCTTTTTTTCAACGTTAAGGATGTAATTCGAAAGTCAAATTGCGAAAATAAATCTAACAAAAGTTAAAATAAGATATGATGTATATTTGCAAACAAAGGGAGTATACATTATTAAAAATCATGCCATCAGTCTTGATCGACAAAAAATAAAAAACTGGACAAATTAAATACTCTGTGACCGAGGAAGTATTTTATAAATCTATATACAATGGAGTATATATGAAGACTATGAACTAACAATGTTAGTGTTTACCATATATGTTTGGAGCATGCAGTATGTACTGTATGGACCATTTGTTGCAAAGATTTTGCACTCAAGATACTATGCACAAGAAAGCAGCAATAGCCCCTCCCCCTCATCCTCAGCAACAACAATATGGTGCTTACATTTAGTGATTTTGTGCACCCTTAGAATGTTGGTGCATCAATTTTGGTCCTCTTTCAACAACATGTTGTTCCTCGTCCGGAATCGTCGCATCGTTCAACGAGGCACCGATTTCCAACAAATCGACAAAGAATGGGACTGGTACGTCGTATACACATCTGGTCTTTATTTAAAAAATAAAGATAATATTAATTGTTCGTACACGCAAAGTGTATCGATTAAGTTATACTCCCTCCGTTTGGAAAAAGTGTTCCTATTTTGACTTTGTGTAAAAATAAGGAAGTATTAAATTGTAGTTGACTTCCAATTTTGCCCTTGATGTGATAGGTAAAAGTAAGATGTGATGGATAGATTATTAGATATAAAGTATGATGTGATAGGTAAGGTATGAAAAAGTAAGGGTAAAAGTGGTTTTTTAATAGAAAGTGGAAGTGTTTTGTTGGAAGTAAAAAAAATGAAAGAGGAAGTGTTTTAAAAAACGGAGGGAGTACTATATATTGGAGACCGTGAAATGTTACAAGTTAATTTGGGATTTTATAATTTTCAGGGACAACTTCTTGATACTTCAAGCACTGATTGCAAGTTTAGGGTTCCTAATTGTGTTTCCAGCTGATGATGAGATGATATTCAGTCTTCCAAGGTGGGACATGGGAGGAGTGATGGCTGCAGTTTTGCTTCATGTTTTTGTTTCTGAGCCCCTTTACTATTTCCTACATAAATGCTTCCATGCCAGTAATTACCTTTTCACCCATTACCATTCCCTCCACCATTCCTCACCTGTGCCCCACCCATTCACTGGTAATTATACTACTCCATTCGTTTCTTAAAACATTTTTAATTTTGACTTTTGTCCAAAATAAAAAGTGTATATTTGTAGTTGACTTTCAAATTTTGCTCTTGTTGTGTTAAGTAAAAATAAGATGTAATGAATCAGATTGTTAGTGAAAAAGTATGACTGTTAATGAATCAGATGGTCATTATCTATTAGTCATTATTCAACTAAATGTCAAGCATCACTTGGACATTATTCTTCTTGCCAGTCATTATTAAGTTCTATTTAGAGAATAAAAACGTTTAAGTCCTACATTGGTAAATGACTTACTCCCTCCGTCCCCTATTAGATTACAATATTTTTTTCTCTCTCCTCTCAATAGCTTTTGTTTGTTTACGCGATTTCATTAAGTATTTGATAAAATAAAATATTCTTGTCACCTCTTGTTTTGTAGAACTTTTGACGTAGTTTTTTAATATGTAATTTTTATATCTTATTGATATACCAATTTTTTAATAAAATGATTTCAAAAAGTAGGAAATTTACTCCGTAACCCACAATTTGTAATCAAATTAGGGATGAAGGGAGTATGTTTTAGTCTTATTCAGTGCAAATTTCACTACGTGTAATGGTTTTAGAGCACATAGTGTTAGGGGCAATAATGGGAATTCCAATAGTGGGGGCATGCATGATTGAACGTGGATCAACGGCCATGATTTACGGCTACGTTTTGACTTTTGATTTCCTGAGATGTTTGGGACATTGCAACGTCGAAGTCTTTCCACATCAGCTGTTTGAAGCCCTTCCATTTTTGAGATATCTCATTTACACCCCCACGTAAGTCATCAATTATTTCTCTATCTCTCTTTCCACTTCCCATTTTTATACTCACCTCCCTCGTATGAATTTAACTTTCTACTTTTAACTTTTACTCATTTTTAAAGAAAATCCACTGTAAGATATATTTGTCCAAAATATCCTTGTTAAAAATATTTAAACATGAGAAACGAGAAAATTAAATCCAGAAAACGCAAAAAATGAAAGTTATTTTTTGTCTAAACATACATATGTAAAAGAAATGAAAAGATAAAATTCAGACTGATAAAAAAGAGAAATATGAATATTAAATGTAAACAGAGTATATTTTAATCACACCAACCCAATTTTATGGCATTTATTAATTAATCAGTCCCATATAACCTATTTTTTGAATTGCTTCATTTGTCTCAAAAAGTATTTCAATATGATTTCTTTTACTAATAGATTGGAAACACATTTTGACGTAGCTATGCTCTCCCCGTCTAGTAAAATTTTTCTACTTTAAAAAAAAAGAGAATTTTAAGATATGTAGAATTTTGATATTATTTTCTAATTTTGCGTGAAAATTAGAAAATAAAAATTGACTTTGTGAATTGTAAATATGCAACTTAATTAATTTGGGGCGAATGAAGTAATTGAGAGTAAAAGTGTATGTTTTTTAAGAGGGATGAAAAGTGAAAAGTAGAAAGTTTTTTGGGGTGGAGGTAATATAATTTTATGGAAATAAATGTTAAAAATATTTCATATATCAAAATTACACCTTAAAATAAAATCAGTTATATGTATGAGCCTAAATACACACCTAAAATGGCTATATCCACAAATTTCACCCAAATTTGCTAAATCCACACCAAAATGAGGCGTATATTACTGGGTGTGAATTTAACAAATTTAGGTGAAATGTGTGGATATAACCATTTTGGGTGTGGATTTTGTAACACTGCCCTATCACAAATTGTATCCAAATTTTATAAAGTTTGATAATAAAAAGAGTACGTCCAAAGGAAAATTCATTTATTTATTTATTTATGGTGGGAGAGCATGCAGATATCACAGTGTACACCATACAGAGAAGGACACAAATTATTGCCTTTTCATGCCAATCTTTGATGCATTGGGTAATACCCTCAACAAAAAATCATGGGAGAAGCACAGAGAGATTAGCTTGCAAGCAGGTAAAGAGGGGAGGGTACCAGATTTTGTGTTCTTGGCACACGTGGTGGACTTCACGGCAGGGATGCACGTGCCGTTCATGTGGAGGTCATTTTCGTCAATGCCATTCAGGACGAGGCTGTTCTGCATCCCCATCTTGCCCTTAGCCTTCGTCGCAATGGTCTTCATGTGGCTCTTTTGCAAGCCATTCGTGGTCTCCTTCTACACCCTCCGGGATCGCCTCCTTCACACCTGGACCGTTCCCCGCTTCGGTTTTCAGGTCTCCATCCCACTTCATATACTCCTTCCGTCCCAAAAAGATTTACACATTTCAAAAAAATTGCGTCCCATAATTCCTTACTCATTTCTATTAAAAAACCACTTTTACCCCTTACTTTTTCAAACCCTACCTATCACATCATACCTTTTTCGTAATAATCTATAAATCACATTCTACTTTTACCCATCACATCAAGGGTATTTTTGGAAAGTCAATACAAAATTATCCCTCCCTTAATTTCTACTTTAGTCAAAACAAAATTATCCCTCCCTTAATTTCTATTTTAGTCAAAAAAAATGTGACAATTTTTGGTTGTGACAATTTATGGTTTGGGGGCATATATATATATATATATATATATGGATGCACGCAGTATTTCATACCATTTGCGGCAAAGGGAATAAATGGGCTGATAGAAGAAGCAATTCTTAAAGCGGACAGATTGGGAGTCAAAGTTATCAGCCTTGCTGCTCTCAATAAGGTATGGTTGACTTCACAATTTTGTCCATGATGTGATGAATAGATCGATTATTAATGAAAAAGTATGATGTAATAGGTAGGATATACTCCGTATAAGAAAAAGTAAGGATAAAAGTGGTTTTTAATAGAATAACATTGAAGTGTTTGGAGAAAGAGGAAAAAAATAAAAGATGAAGTATTTTAAGAAACGGAAGGAGTATGGTATATATTATTAGTAAAAATATACTCCGTATAGTATGATATACTCCCTCCGTCCCATAAAATGTTATCCATTTTGACTAAAGTTGAAATTAATTAAGGGAGGGATAATTTTATGTTGACTTTCCAAAAATACCCTTGATGTGATGGGTAAAAGTAGGATGTGATGTGTAGATTATTAGAAAAAAGGTATGATGTGATAGGTAGGGTTTGAAAAAGTAAGAGGTAAAATTGGTTTTTTAATAGAAATGGGTAAGGGATTGTGAAACACAATTTTTTTGAAATGTGTAAATCTTTTTGGGACGGAGGAAGTAATAACTTAGGTAGGATACGATCAAACTAATAGGGGTAAACATTGTTTTTTAATAAAAAGAACAAAAAGATTTTGGGGCGGAAAGGACTTTTAGAGACGGAAAGAGTAATTAATTATTACTACCTACGGAGTATTATATACGAGTATTATTGTTGTTGCATGCATTACTCATCATTTTGTATCCTAATTAATTACGTAGTAAACATCATGACCAAAATATTGTGACATTGTTATTTTTTTTTTGTTGACAAAGTGACATTGTTATTTAGTTCGTTATTTACGATCGAGAAACTAATTTAATTAAATAAATAAAAATGATGAAACATTATTAGAATGAAGCACTAAATGGAGGAGGGACATTGTTTGTGAACAAACATCCAAACCTGAAGGTAAGGGTGGTGCATGGGAACACGCTCACGGCGGCGGTGATATTAAACGACATTCCAAAGGATGTTACGGAGGTTTTCCTCACCGGAGCCACCTCCAAACTCGGCCGCGCCATCGCTATTTACCTTTGTCAACGCAGAGTCAAGGTTTTGGTATGTAATGCCCCCCAAACACGAATAAACCTTTTACTATTTCTTTTGCTTGTTGGAGTAGTAGATTTTGCAACTTTTTGGTTGAGTTGATTTTTTGACACATATTATTTTATTGAGACACTCGGTTGTACGTATTACAGATGTTTACTCCGTCAGCAGAGAGATTTCAAAAAATCCAAAAGGAAGCCCCGGTTGATTTCCAGAAATATCTAGTGCAGGTCACTAAATACCAAGCTGCCAAAAACTGCAAGGTACATACTGAATAATAATGGAATAATAGATTAATACATGACAAAATCAATAGGGTAGTGTTTGGCAACTAGCATTTCATTTCAATTCATGCATTTCAATTCCAAAATTTGAAATCCTGAATTTCAAATGACTAGAGGAGGTGCATGAATTTCAAATTAAGCTTTGTTTTGAATGTAAAGAATTTGATTCAAATCCAAATTCAAAATGCTTAAGTTTCCCAAACATGGAATTTAAGTCAAATCCAGATTTAAAATCCAAATCCATGTTCCCAAACATACCATAATATAATTTGACTAAAATACAAAAATTACCATAATTATTAATGAGAAATTTACCTAAATAGGCTAAAACATAATGACTTTCCCAATATAGGACCATATGTTTTTATTTCCCAATGTAGGACCTTTGGTCATTATCAAGTAATCATTATTCAACTAAATGTCCATCATTACTGGACATTATTCCCTCCACTAGGTCATTATTAAGTCCTATTTAGGGAATAAAAAAGTTTAAGTCCTACATTAAGAAAGTTATTATGTTTTAGTCCTATTTAGTGCAAATTTCACATTATTAATATTGTCTAACAATTCGCAATATACATTTAATGTAGTTGATGGTTAAATTCTTCCAGTTGTATGAATAAAAAAACTTAAATTGAACAAATATTTTGAAGTAGAGAAAGTATATAGTTTACATATTAATTTTTAATAAGTTTACCTATAATAAACACATTATGTTACAGTAAAATTAAAAAAAATTATTTATTACTGCATGCATATGATACTCCCTCCGTTTGGAAAAAGTGTTCCTCTTTTGACTTTGTGTAAAAATAAGGAAGTACGTCCCAAAAAGTTTGTTACGTTTAGAAAAAACTGCGTCCCGTAAAGTCCGTTACATTTCTATTAAAAAAACACTTTTACCCCTTACTTTTTCATACCCTACCTATCACATCATACCTTTTATCTAATAATCTACCCATCACATCCTACTTTTACCCATCACATCAAGAGTATTTTTGGAAAGTCAATACCAAAATATCCCTCCCTTAATTTTCCAAAAAGTCAAACCGTCCCATTCTTTTTGGGACGGAGGGAGTATTAAATTGTAGTTGACTTCCAATTTTGCCCTTGATGTGATAGGTAAAAGTAAAATGTGATGGATAGATTATTAGAGATAAAGTATGATGTGATAGGTTGGGTATGAAAAAGTAAGGGTAAAAGTGGTTTTTTAATAGAAAGTGGAAGTGTTTTGTTGGAAGTGAAAAAAATGGAAGAGGAAGTGTTTTTGAGAACGGAGGGGTACTTTTTTTTAATAGTAATAACTCTATTAATTAGAATGTATGTGTATGGTGATAGACGTGGATAGTTGGGAAGTGGATCACAGTGAGAGAGCAAAAGTTTGCACCCAGAGGAACTCATTTCCACCAGTTTGTCGTCCCTCCGGTCTTCCCCTTCAGAAGAGACTGCACCTACGGCGACCTTGCCGCCATGCGTCTCCCTCCCGATGTTCAAGGTCTCGGAACCTGCGAGGTAAACAACGCCCCCCCCCCCCAACCCCCGACATTTAGCTAACTATGTATAGTACTCCCTCCGTTCTATAAAAGTGTTCCTATTTTGAATTTGTGTAAAAATAAGAAAGTGTTAAATTATAGTTGACTTCTAATTTTGCCCTTGATATGATGGGTAAAAGTAAGATGTGATGGATTGAGTATTAGAAAAAAAGTATGATGTGATAGATAGGGTATGAAAAAGTAAGGGTAAAAGTGGTTTTTTAATAGAAAGTGGAAGTGTTTTGTTGGAAGTAAAAAAAATGAAAGAGGAAGAGTTTTTGAGAACGGAGGGAGTATATTATTCCGTCTGTTTTTTTTTTTTTGTAAAAATTTGTAAACTTTGACATATATACATGTGCAGTATTCGATGGAGAGGGGGGTGGTGCATGCGTGCCACGCGGGGGGAGTGGTGCATTCGATGGAAGGGTGGACCCACAACGAGGTTGGGGCGATCGATGTGGACCGAATCGACATTGTTTGGGAAGCCGCTCTCAAGCACGGACTCAAGCCTCTCTCCAACAACACTAGTACTATTACTAGTAGTACTAGTAGTAATACTCTTTCGACCTAATCAATTTATACTCGATCGTATAAGCCAGCTGGTTGTACGTTTGAGCTAGCTAGCTAGCTAGGGGTAATATAATGCATGATGATAAACGAACGTACCCAAGCCTTTACTTATATGCAATCATATTCTCCCTCCCTCACAAAATAGGTTACGTTTCATTTATTGCGCATCCCAAAAAAACATTTACCACGTCTAAAATACCCAAAAATTACCACATTTACCTTTTATTGTGGGTAGATTGAAATTTTTTTAGAGTTTGAGACGATATAGAAGTATTTTATTTGATGCGAAAAAAATGAAACGTAACCTGTTTTTTAGACGGAGGGAGTATCTAGCTTATGTCCGCGGGGCCCATCTTTTGTACTGAATTTTTGTTCATAATGGTTTTCCTTCGGTGGAAAAATGTACGAGTAGATTTTTTTTTTCTTTTTGCACTCTTGAATTACAAGAACCAATTAAACATGGTGTAAGAAAATAAGGAATTAAGTTGTGCATGTACCACAATGTTTGTTTGGCTACACTCTCCGTTCGCGTTGTTTAATCTTTTCATTTCTCATATATATGTGCATGTGTTTGGTCGACAAAATACCCTCCCTTTTTATACGTCTGGATTTCTTCTTTTCATTTCTCATGCTTAAGTATTTTTTAGTAAGAGTATTTTGGACAAACCTACCCTTTTACTACCTACGTCAAGATTTATTATATTCTTTCCATTTTTCTTTCACCAAAATACATCTACTTTCTCTTAAAAACAACAGTATCTTTACTAATTTCAATATTACCTATCACATTATACTTTTTTATAATAATCCACATATCACTTCTTAATTTTATCCATCACCTCAACCGTAAAATTAGAAAGTCAACTACAAATATACGCTTCTTATTTCTTTCATAAGTCAAAATTGGAACCATTTTGTTGAACAAACGAAGTATTTATAAAATTTTTTTATTTATTTACTTATTTTAAATTTATTTCATATAAAATTTATTTTTTCATTATTATTTAAAAGTATGTTTCACTATTAGAATAAGTTGAATTAGCTGCCATTTTATTTGTCTCCCAAAGATCTTTTCATTAGTTCCTTTAACATTTAAAATACGGAGTATCACAATTACCATCACTTTATTTATTACACCTCATCCACCTCAATTTGGCCATGTTCTCCTCATCTGAGCTGAATAGTTCTGATCTGATTGAAATAAGTTTTGATCTGATTCCAATAAGAATAAACAATAAGTAAAGAAAATAAATTGAGGAGAAAATGACCTTAATACACTCCATCTAATTTTCATTGGACATATTTTGGTAAGCTTTTAGTTTTTTTAATTCTCCTTGAATATTACAAAAAATCTAAATGAGAACATTTTAGATACTTCCTCCGTCCCAAATTATAATGCCTATTCACTATTCACAGGGTCAAACTTTATTTATTTTCTTTCTCTATTTTCGTTAGCAATTTGATAAAATAAAGTATTATTGTCACTACTAGTTTTACAGATCTTTTGATGTAGTATTTTAATATGTAATTTTTATTTTTTAACTATATACCATTTGTCATATAAAATGATTTAAAAATAATTTCAGTCAAACATCATAAATCAAAACAGACGTTATAAAATGGGACGGAGGGAGTACATTTTTTGTATTCAAAATTGTGTAGGTGCATGAAAGAATTGTGTAAAATGAAATTTTGCGTGCAAGAAAAAGAAGAGTTCCACGTGTCGTAGCCTCGCCTTGATAAACTGGCCACGCGTCGCTCGATCAAGTGGTGGGGACCAGACCTCGTAGTCTTCTAGATTCATGATGAATTCCTTCATTTCAATTCAACCTCCTAAGTAAAGAACAAATTCGCGCAAAAAAAAAAAAAAAAAGGTAACGAAAGCAGTTGGGTCCACTTTAGCCGTCCACCATCATCATCAGCCGACGAAGAAGATGCCGCCGGTGGTGGAACGCCGCCGCCGCCACCACAGTTCCCTGAAGAACAAACCAATAATCCATTAATTATCTCTTCTCCGACGACTACATGTTTGCGCCCTTCCTTTCATCGCCGTCTTCCTGCCGTGAGTGCCTTAATTTTTACAACTAACACGATAATGGTATTCAAATTAAAATTAATTGCTTCAACAAAAAAGATCTTAATTACGGTTCTTTCTTAATCATTCTTTGGTTTTTTTTTATAAAAATGTAGATTAACTTTGAAAAACGGCAACTAATGTATATATTAATGCCTTACTAGTTTTGTTTTATGAAAAATGTGAGAATAGAATTCATTAATGGAAGGGACAAACCAGAAAAGTGTGGGACGAGCTATTTTCTGCTAAATCTTACACGTGAACATTAATTTTGTTTAAACTTGAATTGCGCGATGGTGAGTTTCGAACTTGTTACTTATTAGACAAGAAATGTGATAATACGATGTCAAAGGAGCCAATTCACCCATATATAGTTAACCTCAAGTTTGTGATTATAAACCCGGGAAAGACTTTATATTCAAACAAAAAGAATTGTAATAAAGTTTAAATGGTATAGATGATTCATATTATGAAAATAACATAAACACGTGATGTCGAGAGTATATAATCATAGCACGAACAGACGAGGAGGAAGCGGGAGGAAAGGCAAAAGAGGAAGGGAGGGATTTCGTGAGGAGAGTTGGCGAATTTCTCAAGTGTGATTGTTATTTGTATACACGCCATTGCTTATCACTCAACCTTGGCTTCTTGCATCTAATTCTCCTCCACGGCCTATTCAAACAGGTTTATATTAATTACCCACAAGAATTTAATTCGACGGTTATTAAAATTTGGAGTTTTTTTCCCATCTCCGTTTAATGAAAAAGAATACTATGTTGAATAAAAAAATTCACATCTTTTAAGCGAAATATAAACATTTCTCTTGAATTTTGTGGAATGAAAATGTGTAAATGAATTATTCTGGGGAAGAGGGAGATTATATGAGTAATGAGATTATAAGATTAAAACTTGTCTTCGTAAGATGGCTATATATGAAACTGATCGATTATATGATGATTGTCGTGCAGTAGAGAAGGACGCGATTAGTGTTTTTGACAAGGAGGATCAGAGTTGTGCCAATGGTGGTGGTCTAAGGAAAGAAACCGTGAAACACGTCATATTCCAACGCCACCATCATCCTCTGCCCCCACATGCACGTGACACCGGGTCATTACTTCATTTCTTTAATCTTCTTCGTTTTGCACTTGCACTACTTAATTACTACCACTTGTCTTTAATTTGTTTGCTTAAAACTATAACTCCTATTATATTTTTGTCATTTACACAATTATGTGAAATGTACTACTCCCCCCGTTTCAATATATGTGTTTTGTGTGATATATATGTGCAAGGAAGACTAGGTTCAAGGAGAAGAACGGGAACATGGAATAGAAGAATGTGTAATTTAAATTGGAACAATTACAGGGTAGCTAATATGGAGCAAGTATTATTGGAATAAAGGATGAATCTTTTTTCTCATGTAGCCTGAGTAGTAAGTTTTCAAGTTCAAAAAGACTTGTCTGTATTGAACAATACCCATTCATTTCGAATTTCAATTGTACTACTACATTAACACACTTTTTGGCCAATTTTTCAAACTTGTTTTTACAACTCAAAACAACATTTTCCAAATAATTTTGCATGATAAAAAATGCATTGATACAGTGCCAAAAAAAAGAAGCAAAAAGAGCCCAAATACTAATTTCTTATTCATTTCTAACGTTAACGCTACCATAAATTTTCTTTTTTCACAAAACACATACATGATGAAAACTAGAATCGAATTCCTGATCGTCCCGAAAGTTCACAAAAAAACCAGATATATGGACATCGAAAATTCACAAAAAAAGACAGATATATGGACATGCCATATGTGGGTTCTTGACATAAAAAAGTGTTCAGTGTTGGTGTTATATATCTGCAAATTCTGCAACGGTTGAACTTCAGTGATACACAGCGCTACCGTATAATAATAGCCGAGGCTGCCCGTAACTCTTTCACCTTCCTTTACAAAAAGATTCAATCATTCCAACTCATCCGTGGCAGTAAAAACGCCACTATAAATGGATCAAAAGTAATAAAAAACAAAGGGAACACCGCAGATGCCCGACCGGAGCACACCATGATGCCATGAATAGAGTCGAGTTTCGATCGACCTAAGAATTGGTGTGGGGGAGCTACCATTCCAAACGACTTGACGTGTAATTGGGGAAAAGCCTCAACAGGTTATCAAGAGTCTCAGGCAAGAACTTCCTTGCAAACAAGTAACAAGGCCTCTCCATTCCATTCCATAGGCATGGCTTAATCTGAACCTGTTTCTGCAAATTCGGGAATTCGTAACGAAAAAAAGGGCCGATTAGGAATGACTGAATGAGTTAATCAACAACAACAAAACCCAAAATAATCACCCAACTATGTTGGATCTAGAGAATGTTCCCATTTTGCCCCGGATCATTGCTGCATTGAGCATGGGTGCAATGCAAGTGATAGAGATTCTTGAAGTGAGATCATACCTGTGCCACACTTGTCACGTGTACGCTCTGAGTAATAGACTGCAGAAACAGAGGGGGGGAAATGTCACAAAATCAAGTTATAGTTAGGGTCTATTTGGCAGGTTGAGCTGAATTGATAATAGCTAGAAAATATAACATGACAATTGTTTTTAAGTAGAGACAAGAGGAGTTCTTTTTGTGACAGGATATGGTCATTAATGGAGATAACTTATCAAAAGAAAAATCCTATTTCTAACAACAAACCTAGTAAAAGAATCATACGAAGTAGGGGCAAGGGAGGATGTATGTACGCAATCTTTATCCCTATTTAGAAAGTAGAGAGCTTGATTTCAAGAGACTCCCGACTCATAAACAAAAGCACAAAAGGAAAGTAGAACGAACGAAGTACAAACACATACTAAAACACGCATGCAGAAAATAAAAAGGCACAGAAGCACACATGAAATAACTACTACCTCCGTCCCGTGAAAC